ATTTAAGTAGATATTCTTTGTATTACATTTTTATGGAAACCATGAAAGGCGCTTTGTGGTTGTATTAACCGTTTGTTGTGTGCCCGCACTGACTGCTATTTTACAACATAATTTTCAAGCTATTGTTCCACAAATCAAGATATTTCAACATTACCTCTATTGTTGGTACTTAACACCGGAAAATTTGTATTTCATATTACCATTGAGTCAATTCCTTATTCAACGTTATATTGTTATTTCAGATGATATGTAAGCTGGAAAACGATATAAAAAAGTTAATATGTGATTATTAATTATTTTATTTCAAAATATTTACCTTTAATACTTTTGCATTTGTTCAACCTAATTTTCGAAGCATTTTTCTACTCACAATCACATGGTACTTCAGAAACTAGTGCACTGAATCTTACAGGTAACGAAAATCTTTCATCGCCAGACATTTCGTTTGTGATATTTGTAATGAAAAAAGCCTCGGATCCCGCTGCAAGAAACACTGTCGGTGGTGGAAAATTTACGAATTTATTAAATAAATGCTGACGGCTATTTTAGGAAGATTTGTTCTGGAAAATTCTCACAAGAGTTAAATTTGCCCCCAAAAAATTGGCACCCAAGTAAATTCGCCTCCGGAAGGTTTGCCTCGGAAATATTCGCTCCGGGCAATTCGCCCCCGGAAGTTCCACCTAAGGTCGTTTAATATACTGCTGTGTGCAATGACAAACGGTCACTACGCCACCCTTAAACACCTGTCCAGCTAGCTCAAAGTAAATCAACGTTTACATTTAGAATTTTATATTTTTTTTATAAATTTTGATTAACATTTGACATAGAGCATGAAAAGAAAAACCTGACATGAATGCTCTTTTTGGGTCGTACTTGGGGTTCGATTAAAAACACAATTTTGATTTGACAAAGACAAAGTTTATCCGCAAAACATAAAAGAAATTAAAACGACAATGTTAGAAGGGAAAAGGGCATATCGAGCCTGTTTTTACACATACCACGCACGCAGGCGTTCAACAGACAATTAACTAAAGAATCTTAATTGCATAAAGATTTTCATAAATCACTGGTCGTAAAAATTTTGCGATATTCAGGTGCACTTAGAGCTGACACAAACACACGCTGACAGCTTCAGGATTTCACTTCTTTTTTTATTAAAATGGATCTTGACAAAAACTGGCTTATTGAATTAGATGATTTTTCGAACGGTAGAACATTGTTACTTAAAAAAAATGACAAATCTTGTCATAAGGCAACAACTGCTCACGAACAAAAGAGTTTAAAAACTTCTCATGATCTTTTACTAACTCGCACTTTACCAGTTATAACTTCTATTTCTCAATACGATTGCTTCACTTTTTCGACACAACTTTATTATAATAACGATTAACTGCGTCTCTGCACATCAAAACAGGACAGGCCTCGGGACAAGCTGTCAAAAACATATACGTGCACACTGTCGAACCACCAAAAATCCTCGTTTTCCGTTATTTTTCCGTATTCACTTCCACCATAAAATACTCTCATTCTGTATGAATTTTTATATAAACCGACAATCACAATAAGACTGGAATAACGCCAGCTTCGACAAAAGTCCCCACTTATGCCGAGAAACGCGCACATCTTCGTGAAAGACCTGCAACCTCTGAGAAGAACCACATATGCATTAATTAAATTTCGCCTAACATAAAACTTCTTATCGTAAACGACCAGATAGCACCTTTTATAAATCACGCAAAATTCGACCAGATGCGTCTTACTTGTACTTCTAGCACCTTATCTAAATTGAATAACTTACAATAGCGATAAAATTAAAACAAAAAAAAATTAGACATCTACAGAAATTCCTAAAAAGAAAAACAAATACTGAAATACAAATTCAACGAAACGATTACACTTTTTGTGTATTCGTACTTCATAGAATATACAGGGTGGCCAAGCTTTAATGAAAGTGCTGAAACCAAAATAACATCTGCGTGATGTAGTTTACACAACAATACATAATACATGGGTTGATAGTATACAGAGTTTCCCTATGAATGTCTTTCTACCTTCAGATATATGGGAGTATGAGTCATTTTATGTTTGTTAGGCTATGTTATAATTCATGTAAATTAATGGGGCTTTCATCTCGGAAAATTCTGTAAATTCGGCCCCGGGAGAATAACCTCCGAAATACAGGGACTAGTGTGTGGGTGGAAGATGGTGGGCTTATTAACGCGCATATGTAAAATTTATAGTGGGGGAATGTTGAAAGACCCTTAAGGCTACAACGTAAAAATATTTTCAACGAAATTGCAATTGTTGGTGATTTATATCAAAGTTGCATTTTTTTAATGGAACCCCCTGTATATTATTACATATTTCGATTCCTTGGTCAATTTTAGTGTGACTTTATGTATTACACACCTGATTACACATGATATATAAAATGAGTCGTTTAGGCGAAATTCGTCGCTTTTTCAAAAAGTAGATTTCCAGTAAAAATTGAGTACCGCAGTTATCATAAAACTTAGAAGGCCATGACTTTGCAGTGGCACTAATCAGGATATGTTCTTTTGTGTTAAAAGAAATCACTCCGTCAATTTTCAAAATTTCAATCAGAGGTTACTTGATTTTTAGGGGTCGATTCTTTTAGGAATATTAAAATTACTTCCAACAAATTCTTAATTCTAAATTTATGAAAATAGCTGACCAGTTCACTTTTTGTACCACTCTGGTAATGTTATCTTTGTGATGAATGCAAAGTTTGGCAAGTCGCTGTCCAAGGACGTTACTCAAATTTTAGAAACTTGTTTTTAACCACCCATTACGGTGAGCGACCGAAAAAAAAGTTATTTATTTGCCACAATGGGTTTAATCTCAGCTCGTTTAATCCCGTTTTTTATTAGAAAAGCAATTCTCCGATTTGTTCCATCTCGTATATTTTACCACTGGTAGATACTTAAATAAAAGACCTTGCTACGAATCAGGCCACTAAAAAGTTTTTTCCTCGTCCCGTAATTTGTGTATTCGTACACATATAAAATTGCAGGTTGTAACGTTCCGTTGAATGTATTCTTGGTTTGTGGAACTAACTGAATGCGCTCCTCGTGGATTAGGAGGAGTTGGTACTATTGGTATCGACAAAAATATCACTTTTGCTTTGGCCGCTGAAATAACAAGTTCTAGTTTTGGCGAAAGATGTTAATATATTGGAAAATTAGAATTATCACGCTAACATTGTTTAAATTAATTATCTAGACGTCTTTACGCGAATGGGGAGTGGCTGTATCCTCTTTGTCATGCCATATGTTTTAACTTACTTACTTATCTTTGTTTTATATATATCGCAATCCGAAATCCATCTATTAATGAGGTACGTAAGTTTGAATTAATTGAATTTTTTGCATTGTAGATTTCTGTTATATTTTTCTTTGTACGTTACGAGCATCCAGAATACGTGTAATGGGGTACGGGCTCACATAGTACGTGACCGCTCGGGAAAAACAGATTAGGAATGCCCGTGTCCCACTTTTCTCGCTATCGACCTTTTTAAACGAATCGTAGACCTGCATTTTAGTGAAGCGATTGGCTTTAATCAGAACGGAACAAAACTCTTACATTCGAAGAGATCGTGGATCGTGGTAACCGTGCTCGCTTTTCCTAATGTTATCGTCAGACACACTTTTGTTCATGTTCGCTATGAAGCGGTATATATGTGAATTTTCCTCTGTTTAACAAAATACAAAACCAAATTTTTGAAAACGGCTAAACGACCACCTGTTACAAAATGCGTTTCAAAGGTTGCGGCGCCGGTAAATAAGATAGAATGATCAGACAAAGAATGGGAATGGTATTGTAAATACGGACAGCGACGTAATATTGGAAGGTGAAGTAATGTTGTAATTCTTCGCACTTCTAAAGCGACCGATTGTGATCAAATACTATTTCTATACGACATGAACATTTACCGTTGGATTACGTAATCTTTGAGTGATCGTGTTTCACCTTCACAATTTTAAATGAATTATTAATTGTACGAAACCTAGGAATTTCATCAACTATCCTTTTCAATCATTTGGATCAACCTAATGTACAATCAGTACTTCGAGTTTGGACGACCAAGGGATATCGCTGTTATTATTACGTGGATCCGCCAAGAGGAAAATAATGTTTGATTAAATAACAAGGGTCCTGTAGCTTTGTTCATTTTATTTTTAAGATTGTAAATTGTTAGTAAGGGGGATAGTAACCCTTTGTAATTTTGTATGTATTATTGGTCCACGAAAAGCTAAGTTTTTAATTTTTAGGCATGAATAAAAAGGTAAATTCTGTTTGAAAAATTTGAGCTAGCCAGTGGCATAATTTTACAAAAAAGTAACGGCACTGTTTTATATAATTTAAAAATAGCGTCACATTAGTACGAGCAATCATTTCAGCCCTGGTTTTGTACCTACCAGTCACAATACTAATTTCGGTGTCTTTTCTTTAAAAATGTCCAATGGAATTGATCGCCGACAAAAATTTAAAACGAGAAAGTTTCGATCTCGGTTTTGTGAAATGTTTCGCTTTGCCAGTTTTGGGCTTAATGAATTTAACCTCCTACAATTTAACTGAAATTATGAACTAAACTTTTTGCATTGCGAACACTTGAAAACTTGCTTATTTTCTTTAGAAGCTGAAAGATAAACATAAAAAGTTGCTTTAATGTTAAACTTTTAATGAACCTCGCTTAAGACAAGCAAAGACCGATTACGAACTGAAAAAAGTATAAAATAAACCTACATCGCCTGAACCTTAACAAATCTGCTTCAAGAATTGAAAAGTAAAACAGAAATACAACACCCTCCGTTTTAATTTATTTCATTAATGTTAATGGAATTAGCAGAACCGAATTTTTCGGTATCTTTAGCAATTGCGTCGGTGCGCATGAATAATTTTAAACCGAGGAAACTTCATTATAAATTGTACCGTTCCCGATTATATAAATATTGAACAGTTTTACTTTGTTTCAGGATGATACAAAGACAACGAAAATTGGCGAAAAGAAAAGATGGATCCACGATCCTTCAAGTAAGTAAATCTGCATGACTTCAGTGTCGTTGCCTCTGAAGTATGTTTAGTATGCAAATTTTACAAATTCTGATTAATTAGACTAATCCCGATTAAAAGAAACCTTTAGTTGTGCAATGTGTAAGGGAGTTAGCTAGCTAGGCAGCTGCCTTTCAGGACAAACGTTGTCGCAAAACAAGAAAGTCATAACAATTCAAACGATTCCGTAGGTGTACCTACTGCTCAGATACTCCACATATTCTTTTATTTTAAGCGGGATTATTCAGTTCCGTGTAAAGTAGAGTAATTGCTCGAATATGTGGAAATTAAGAAAACAATATGCCAACTCCCCTGTTATTAATATTGTGCCATTAACAACCAGAAATGCACAAATCCCAGATCAATTACGCAAGAATAAACGCGAAAGTATTCCCTTGTAGGTACCACCAAGGTACGCTTACAACAAAATAAATCCACCACTCCGTGACGCGCCTTAGATTTACGGCACTTATGGGCAGAAATAACACTCCATGTAAATTCTACCTAACTTTTTAACAAACAATAAACCCATTTCTATGTTTCGCATTTATAATGTCGTTGTTCTGATTCGGATTATGATGATAGAATGAACTTCATTCTAGCACGATTTTTGGTAACTTTTCCATTCTACTAACACGATTTTTGGAGGCTTTTTTTGTTTAGGAATTGGTATCCCTGTTATGTGTGACAGCCAACAAAACGTCAGCACAAGAGTACGCTTTATACTTTGTATGCTCGTGTTCTGTGGTAAAGTTAAAGTTGGTTACTTTTTTTCACACTAATATCAATGTTTATTCATTAAACAAAGCTCATATTTAAGGAAAAATGCACACGCATTACGATTTATTATTAAATTACACCAATAAAGTCATTAAACAAGTTTGCATAAACGATTTCTTAAAAATGTGCTAAAATGAAATTATCTAACCCCAACCTAACTTTCGTTCTTAAAAGAACAATTGTTATAAATTTTAACAGTCACCGTGGAATGTTCACCTGCATTTATAGTAATTCCGGGGACATTTTGTAACGAGTTAACAGTGGTGGATTCGAGGGTGGATTGTTTTCCGCTAGTAACAGTACATGGTTTCGTGGAGGGTCCAGCTTGAGGTTGTTTGGATTGAGTAGTCGAAACCGAAAGTAACTCTGCGACTTCAATTCTCAACCCTCTGCTGTTGAGGAACTTTTCCACCCACCATGTTGCTTCAGTGTCATTATATCTGCACCATTGTTCGCCAAGTGTGATGCTGATGATCGGCGAAAGCAATGCCCGGAATATTCATCGCAGTTCCGCAACTTGAGATATCTTGCAATAATTCGGGGCATCTCGCCTATTTTGTTCAAACCAATTGGTTGCACCGTGCAACGTCCTTGTCGATAAAATATGAAAAACCGTTTGTGGGTTATATGTACAGGTCTTAAGCAAGCATACTCCTTGATTAAGCCTATCCACATTGCATTTGTAATTGCAAATAGCCTTGGACGTTTAGTTTTGGTTTTTGGTACCGTCACAAAAGTTGAATCGGACTTGTAGTCTATATCATCCGTAAGCAAATTTTTTAGTTCCTCCCGCCTGCATGCTCCGGAATAACCAATTATTAGAATTACCTATAAATGTATCAGTGTGTAATTGTTGATTGAAAATTAATAAAATTACCTTCGCTGCCAAATACTCTGTGTTGGGTGCTTCATTAATGAATCTTTCTAATTCAGGATATTCTAATATTTTAAACTTCTTTGCCTCATATCCAACTGATGTTCGTCTTAATAATGCCTGCAGTTTCATAAATTTAGAAATATCAATATTCTCTCGAACATTCAACATAGATCGGAGCATCGAGTAATTCTTCCACAACGTAGAACTTTTGTAGCTCTTGCTCATTATTGTAAAGAATGCTAACAAAACATTTTCACTTATCACTGTCACGTTTTGTGCGCCACACCAATCTTTAAATTTTAGGTATTCTTTTTCATCCTCTCCTTTTGATTTTGTCGGTAACAGATTATCGACCGCTTCTTCGGCTATTAAGTGTAGTTCTGGCGGAGTAGATGAAAAGGTTGTCTCAGACATTGCAAATTTTACCTTCGTGTATCTATTTTCAGGCGCATAACGAAAAATGTTAAAATTTAGAGAGACTAATTTAAACATTTGAAAGATGTACGCAGTGCTGCCAACTTTATTTTGACGCGGCAATATTTCTATTTTAAACTAAATACATACTTTTTTATAAATAATAATTAAGGGCTCAACATAGAAAATAGTATAAAACGTTCGTTGCAGAAGGCCTTCTATCACTGGTTCATTCGAACCTTCGCCGCTGCGCGGCTCAGGTTCGAAACTTGAACTCGTGCTAGAATAGGCCGCCTTCTGCAACTTATGTTTTAATATACTATTCTGGTGCAGGTTAGAAAAACAAAACAACAACAGAGAACAATAAACTGGCACATAGATCCTATTTAAGCTATTTATTATTTATCGTGACTTTACACCGATATTTAAAATCAATTGAACGCTACCATGCATCAACTTGGCTTATACTGAAATCGATAATAATATGGCATTAATTACAATTCAAGTGTAACAAGGTAATAAAGTAATTGTAAACGATTTACAAAAAGCGCATTTCAACTTGCATTCATTTCCCATTTTTAAAAAGCAACTTCTGTTAAAATCGTAAAAATCCGGCCACAAATATGAAAGATATACGTCTTTCGCTATAAAAACCGATGCACGTCATTGATTTATGAATCAATTTCAGACAAGTTTTCTATAGATTTCGCACACTTGTTTTTTTTTGTACATGTTGCAGTGTTGCAGCATATGTCTGAAATTGATACACAAATCAATGACGTATAGCATTGCATAATTGACGTGCTATTTCATTTTCAGTTTATAAGAAGAATTTCATTTCAATGCTTTCCTAAATAAGAAAATTGGCACTGCGCATGCGCAAAACCAAAACTGGCGTTTGATTTTCCTTTATTCCAAGTGCCTATGTATCAAATTTCATTTAAATACTTTTATAAATAAAAACGTTTGCAATTCGGTTTATAAATGGTCGAGATGCGAAAAGGGCACTGTGAATTTTGAATCGATTCGACTCAACTTTTGGCATTGCGTATTATATGGCTTAGCCCATATTGAATTTCATGCAATTCAGTTCATAACTAATTGCGATGTCAAAGCGATCGGACATTTCTAAACAAAGTTAGCGTTCGTACGGATAGATGGATGGACAGACAGACAAGGGAACAGACGGACAGACCAACATACAGACGACAGACAGCAATACAAAATTATAAACGATCTCTAGGATCGTTAATCAGCGGCAAAAGTGTAAAATTATGGAACATGTAAAAAATGGTTTTTTGTTTTTTTTTACAATAACTTTTTAGCAATAAACGCAGAAAAAATTCCTTCCTTGCCGCAAGCTTCGACACCATGACGAACCAATTAGCGAAAAAAGTAGAACACTAGCTCTTAAGATAAAGAACTAGTAGCGTCCCAACGGATGGCCGGACGGACGGACAGACGGACAAAGCGGCCACAATAGCGCATTTTTTTATTGTTGTGGAAATGGCTAGTGAATGTCCCCGTAATGACAGGTAGACGAAAGCGAAAGCGAAAGAAACTATTGAAAACTTTCCAATGTACTCACTTACTTTCTCACAATTCTTTTCCTTTTTTACATTACAATAGTTTTCACTGTTCAGCCTGTACGACAACATCGGAGTATTTTATCTCCCTCATAATCGTGCCTTTACACCTGATATTTGACGGTTACTTCGCAAGCAAACCGATTTTTTAATGTTGTAGTGTCGCATTAATGAATATTTATAATAGTGATTACATTATTGTTTGTTACAGACAACGGCGAAATTAGTTTAATATACAACATAGTATTTCTTCTAACTTTGGATAATGTTTTACGAAAGTACGGACACATCATCACTGTAACGATGAACTTTGTATTATTCGAAATTGGAACAAATTTTAATTGAAATGGAGACTTACGTTCGTATTCCTTCAGCCCGAAATGCACAAATACCGAGTTTTCTAGTATATGATTCACCCTTGGTAATTCAAACCCGTATCGTTTTTTTTTATTTGTTCATAAATCGCTAAAACTATAACTTTTGCCTTTATTACGGCTCGAAAATTTAAAAAAATGAAATGCGATCCAATCTCTACACTTTAAGGCGCTATAACCCTTCCCGAAGTAATTAAGACACTGGAACCAACCAATTCATTCTTCTACCTCCACAAAAACACTACTTATCTGAAAGATTTAAAACTACTAAATAATTTACAACCTGAAAATTGCCATTTTATCTATTTCTGCGGAAAGATTGAACAATTTATTTCCGAATTTAAAAAGTTACCATCACAAGTATGAGAAAAAGATATCAAAAAATGTTTTACAAATCCCCAATCGTTTCTCAGATTTCAAAGAACATACTATTAGACCGGGAGGCAGCGTACATAGTAAATAAACCATAAGCGACAAAAAATTCGACAATACAGGCTGAAAGTACGTTGAAAACTAATAATAAAATCACTCGTCTGCCAGTCGTAAGTGGCAGCATTAACTTGGGGCGGCGCTGAATAGGTGACTTCTTTAGGTGATCAACTAAATTACCAAACTATAAACTTGGGGCGGCGCTGAATAGGTGACTTCTTTAGGTGATCAACTAAATTACCAAACTATAACATGAAAAAAAGAAATGTTGTCGCAACTAACAATTAGTTACTCCAACTAATTTTTTTAGTAGCTATAGCCTCAACAAAATTATTTGCTGTAGGAAATCAACATAACTTGTTGGAAGTAAATTTGTTCCAGTAGCTAAAACAATTACTTGTGACAAATTATACAAGTTAGTTAAGAAAGCATACCATTTTTGTTTGAGGAACTAAATAAGCTTGCAAAAAAATTTGTCCCTGTAACAAGTAATGCTTAGTCGCAGCAGCATAGCGGTATTGT